ATTCATTCATTCATTCATTCATTCATTCATTCATTCATTCATTCATTCATTCATTCCAAAGATTTATATGGCCACCCAACTCAACCTACAGTATGTGTATCTGGGCAGCGTACAACAAAAACAAACATGCCACAAGAGATCAACTCTATATCATTAAAATTTGCATGGTTATACTTTTTACTGTTTTTATTTCCCGTGTTCCTTACTTAGCTTGTCTCACATTAAAACTGTAAGGACAGCACCCATCTCCAGCCTCATAGCTGGGTCATAATAGGGGTTTGCAATGAGGCAGCACAGTTTAGGACAGCGTACTGTAGTTTCTCGCTGGTTTACCCACTGGAAGGTAGAAGATCGGTGCAGCCACCTAGCTGTGCCCTAAGAATGTTGTAGCTCCCAAAAAAGGTGTTTATTTTTGCATGAGATGGTGGATCCACAGCTTACAAGTAAGTCCAAATGGAAACACACGTTTGTGGTACTTCTAGCTTGCTTGATTATTCCTCTGACATCTATCTGCCTCTGTTTTAATGAATGGTACGATGTGATTTTTCTCTGCAGTAAACAAATATGTGGTCCGAGTGTTTACAGGCGATGTGAATGGCAGTGGAACAGATGCTGATGTTTTCATTAACATTTTTGGACAGAATGGAGATACAGGTAACATTTCCTAATGTACGCTTCTCTTTAGAGTCTCTAGCAAATCACAATTCCCAGAATTAAACCCCTTGTCATTCTGACAAAGTTGTTGTGCTTCTTGACCTCTGTTTCAGATGCAACTTACTCTCCTGGACCAGGATGTTGATGTTAAAAAAAAACGAAAAAAACAAAACTCTAACAGCAGTTTAACTGTGGAACCAGTTATGCAGAGAAGTGATGGGTTCCTATTCAATGGATGTGCTTGAACAGAGATTAGAAAAGCTTCTGTTGGGGATGCTTTAATTTAGACTCCTGCATGAAACAGACATCTATGATAACTATGATTGGAGTGGAGATGCCCTAAACTGGAGGAAAAAAGAGCAAGACAAGGAAAGATTTGCCACAATTTCCAATTCTATCCTCTGTTGTGCTGCAGCATCTCTGCAGGAACGAAACCCACATCCGAAGCAAGATTCTCAGCAAGTAGGTTGAGGAAATGGAACCAAACCTGAAATGCGGGGCTGCCCTTTTCAAACAGTGTCCTTTTCCAAGTAGATTTCAGCCATTACATTAAGCAACTATCAAGGCAAATCAGTCTCTGAACTGATTAAATGATTTCACTTGATTACTCATGTATATCTTAAAGATTAATTGATTAATAAAGCAATTGAATTTATGTGATGCATGTATAATACTGTACCTCAAGGCAGGAAACTTTTGAAATTGTAAAAGTATAAAGGAACATGTGACTTAATCACTAAAAGCTTTTACTCATTAGAAAAGACATCTTTAATATTTGTATTTTAACACACTTTTATAAGAACATATTTAAATCAAAATAGGCACTCTCCCCAAATTCAGAAAAATACAGGACAATTTGCCGCTATATCAGTTTTTTATATGGATTTTTTAAAAAAAGTTAAGGTTAAAACTTCAACCTTCGAGTCCTTTGAATTGAGTTCAGCTCCTGGTGGCACCATGGACATGCCCATACTAGGTTCTTGGCATGAAAGAAGAATTGTCTTTCCATTACCTTGTTCCTCTTCTAGCCTATACAGGTGGGATTTATTGGTGGCCTCCCATCCAGTATTACCCAGGCTCATAGTTAACTATGGACACCTATTCATATATTAATATGTATCATCGGTTAGATTTATATCCTGCCTTTCCTTCAGGAGCTGATGACAGTGTTCATAATAATCTCTCTTCCAATCTTCCACCACCATAACAACCCCATGAGATAGGTTGGGCTGAGAGAGCAAGACTGTCCCAAAGTCACCTAGGGAACTACCATGACTGAAGGTTGATTTGCTGAGGCCTCCTTGGTTTTACTCCAACATCCACCACACCACTTTGTCTGTCTGTCTGTCTGTCTGTCTGTCTGTCTGTCTGTCTGTCTGTCTATCTG